CTTATTTTGTTAAATAATTTTTGTAGCGGAAAATGTAGAATGTAAATGGAACTGGAATGGATAAAGAAAGGAAACAAACCATGAGATCAAGCAAAGTTGGCACAGGACTATTGCTTACAAAGCAGAGGTCCTGAAGTTGACTCAAGTCCCTGCTGTTAATCCCAAAATTAACAATAGAGATGGGAAGCTCTAGGGAACATTTCATTAACAAGTAACAATCCTTGAGGTTGAGATCACTGTGATCATCCTTCATAATTACAAAATAATCGTAATCACAATGCTAAAATTTTAGTTAATGCAAGTATCAAGAAACAGTATAGTAGTCAGTGTAATTACAATAACCTCAGCACTGCTCCAGTCATTAAATATTTCATTAATTTTTGCTAGAACTGTGGGTCTCCTAAAGTAACATAGTTTATTGAGAGCGTGTATAGTGCATGTGTTGGGCCTAATAATGTTTGTAAATCTTGATATCATTCATTGCGTTTCTTTCAGGTGAATGGATGCTGGTGGATCAATGTCAGGGCTTGGCTTTAGTCAATCGGTTTAACATTAATGAGGTTTTTAAGTGTTACATCCATTGGGGAACAGGGACAGTAAATCTGGAGCTGTGGTCTGAAGATAGGCCTGTTTCAAAGCAATCACCTCTCACAGTCTCCCATGGGTATGAGGTGAGAGGAATCTCTTAGTTACTTGTAAAAGAGATGGATGCAGAGATATTCACACAGCAGATTTAAATTGTGGAGTTTTAACTAAAGAATGCATCAAAACTTCTTCTGGAAAAAGAATGGTGAAATGGATCTAGGAAGCCAATCTGTTGATACATACTGCACTAGGTTTCTAACATAAATCAGCATTTCTTCAATAGAAGTATTTTTATCGCTAACCTTCGACTATGGGCATCCCGGATTCTATGGGGATGGTTAGGTTTGTAAGCTAGATACTTTTTTAACCCAAGTAACGTAGTGGCTTGAGCACCTCCTCACCATCCTGGAACGTGCTCATAAGATTACAAGGTACTTCCACTCCAAAAAAAAGCCGGGAATTGTGACAAAACAACACACCTATTTTACTGGATGAAGAAACGTAGGTGAAGGTCTTTCAGAAACTGAAGCAGCAGGCTTTAAATGGTGGCTTCTCTAGTTATCCCTTAGCCCAAAGGTGCAGCCTTTGCTATGACCAAATATTCAACTAAAAATGTCTTTCGGAACTCTACTCGCAAAACTCTCTTCTGAAAAAGCTTGAATTATATACAGAGAAATCATGTTGGTGCTACCTGAAGCCACTAGCGATAGATGATGGTCTTTATTTACACAAGGAACTTTGCCTTCAATTTTTGCCCATGCATTAGCCTCCTCCACCGTTTCCATTAGCCTGTCATTTGCTAACATGCGTAGGCAGGCCCTTTGGATGGTCACCCAGCTTTCCTTTAATGTTAAAGCAATAATCCCTAGAACACATCCGATGATTGTTCCGACAACGGCACCTATGGCATTCGCATTTTGTTTATTAGAAGAAACATGTCTCTGTCAGGTTCCTTCCAGCTTTTCCCAAATATAAGACCAATCTTGCTTGTCATGGCCCAGTGGGAATGTGGTTCACAGTGCTGTGGTAATAAAGCAGAAACCAGGATTGGCCTTGACCTTGACCATGAAGTTTCAAGTGTAATGACGTGCCTCCTAAACCAATTTGAAGCCCTTGCCTCCTTCGTCAATGGAAAAGGACAATTGCAACACAAAAATATCCTGAAACTCTCAGTAGCAATCATAATCAAAGCAGGAATTCACTTTGGATTATCAATTCTATCATTAATTTTCTTTTCTTTTGTTTCCTCTTTCTTCATTGCATTTGCCTTTCAGTAATCTTGAGTCACTGGCAAATATGAACTGAAAATAATAATAATGCCATAATTAATGTCAAATTGTGAGCCTCAAAAGCTGAAGTGTAAATGGACCAAAGCATAGATATATAACGTTGTAATCATAGACCCATACAATTACATGAATAATTCTTGTAAAACCAACCTCCACCATACAACAGCAATACCAAATAAGCTAGAATACAATATTGTTCATCACATTTCTCACCATCTTTGATTATGAGTCGGAGCACAGCAACATAGGTGTCCAGGTTGCTTCTGGGGTGATCGTTTTTAAGCAAGTAAAGAAATCACAAGAGATTAAAAGACTGCAATAATAAGAATACTAGTGTATTGAAGGCTGAGGATAATTGATTTGATAAACATCCTTACAAATATATAGTAAAAGAAAAGGCTGAAATGCTACTAAAATAGCCATAAATCACGACACTAGTAAACTAACACAACCTTTTATTTGCTTGAAACATAAAAAACTGAAACTAACATAATAGAAAGTTAACGTGAACTTATATCAGTACTAAAATAATCTTTAATACTCTTCCCTGTTTTAAAAACCGTAAATTCCAATCTTTTAAACTTACTAACTGGAAATGGTTTTGTAAACAAGTCTGCTAGCTAATCTTCATACTTTTAGTAAATTAACATAACCTTATTATTTTTTTGCAACTTTTGTAAATAATAGAGTTTTATGTTAAAATATTTGATTTTCCCAACATTAGATTGTGACACATTTATATGGTTGTTTGATTATTCACTGAGACCTTTGTAATTTTCTTATGTTGTTGCTACTACAATAAGTTCAGCTTTTATGGTGGATTGTGCATCAAATGTCTTACTTATTTGACAATTATAAAAATGTTTTTTTATCATAGAAATAAAATTCAGAAATATTTTTTGAAAATGTTTTTTATCATAGAAATAAAATTCAAAAATATTTTTCATATCATCAATAAATCTCCCTATTTACGATAAAAAAAACCACGCAACCTTAACTTTCAACTCCTTTGAAACTAAACATCTAAGCCAACAATTCTTAGAATTCATCTTTTAAATGTATTTAACTTAGACAATACATGAAACAGAATAGAAGAATTGTAGCATAAAGTTTATCAAATTTAGTTGTCATTAAATACATTATGCAACCAATCATGCTTTTAAACTTTTCTTCATCAACTCTATTGGTTCCATCTTTTTTGCTAAATTTTTCTTTTTGATTAATTGGAGTAGCTGTTGGTTTGTGATTTTTCATATGAAATTTCTTTAAATTTTTATTTACATATTTCTTTTAGCAAATAAATATTTCATTCTTACTTTGGTTAAATTTCATTTAGTGGCGAAGCCACAATGGAGCAAGAGGGGGAAACTACCCCCTTAATTTTATTTTCAAAGTATTTTTTATATTAAAATATTAATATAATAGCTTTATAGGATTTTCTTTTTTTGTTAGCCGCTAATTGATCCAAGCTCTTTTTCTTTTTTCACTATTGTCTCTACCTCCTTTCTTTTCTATAAAATTTATCTTAAAGCCCTAAATTATTAATTAGTTAAGTAAGTAACCTCTTATACTTTATGCTTTAGAAAAGTTTTCTTCATCTTTTCTATTTATTTCATTATCTAATTTTAATTTTATTTCTTTATAATTAGTTATTGAAAATGTTAAGGTTTATAATAATTTATGGATTTTTTGAATCAATATGTGTATGGGTAATATTATATGCTAATAGATATATATTGAAATGAGATTTGATGAATTGATAAGAATTTTGCTATGAATTTTATATAAAAAATGATGGTGATAAATTTATTAGTGATTAAAAATGAAGTACACGACAACTAAAAAAATTAGGGACATAATAGATAAATTAAAAAAATTAATATTTATGTTTAATCAACTTCTACAAAACAACAAGTCAATAAGAACAATATCAATTTGACTATATGTCAGTATAGAATCGTTGCCAAGAACTTTTCTATTTCTTGGAAGATTTAGAAATAAATAAATGAAAATTTGTTGTATATATTAAGAAAGATATTTTTAAGGAGATTAAAAATAAAATCATTATGAAGTAATTTTAAAATATAAAATCTCAAAGAAAACAATTATACTGTAAGTTTTTTTAATTTTAAAATTAATTTTACTTGACTTGAGTTGGTACATATATTTTAAATTACTTTCTTTATATAACACATCTATATAACATATAATATCAAATATTTATTAGTAATTTACTCTCTTTTTAAAAAAATCCTGACTCCACACTGATTTTATTCCAATAAAATATGTCATAATGCTAGGATCAATTATTTTAAAAGTTTGCATAATCTTTTACTTGAATTTTTCAACTTATTATGCATTGCTTCCCATTACTAGAAGGTCATCAGCATAAAAAGATATTATAAGAATGTTATTATTATTTTTCTTCACATAAAGAATGGGCTTAGATAAGTTTTTTTTGAAAGCCAAAGCTTAAAATATAATTATTAATTCTGCTATATTAGGTTTTAGGTGATTGCTTTAATCTATATAAAACTTTCTTTAGCGTGTAAATTTTATTTTTTTTTCTTGGATCATAAATCTAATTGGTTATTTAACATAAATATCTTTATATAAAACATCATTTAATAATGCTGACTTGTCAACTAACTTAAACGCTTTCCAGTTCTTGTGTGCAATAATAGCAAATAATAGTCTAATGTCCATTCTTGCAACAGAAGCAAAGTTATCTGAATAATCAACATAAAATATACGAGTATACCCTTAACTACGAGTATAACCTTGTGTTTATTGATATAACTGCATGCATTTAGTTTAGTTTTAAAGACCAACTTTACTCCAATGATGTATTTTAATCAAAAGTTGAGATTTTTAACCTATCTCATGGCTGTCCTGACACGAACGGGATCCTTTCCATGCTTCATTCTTTTGTTTTTTTGACAAGAAGGGAGAAATTCATAGGAACAACTCAAAAACACAAAGTTCCAATTGCTACAAAAAGAAAGATGCAGAGCATTTTGCTTTTCAAGCTGCTTCTCTTAAAACTTTATTGTTGCAAAGCTTCTTTTTGGACCGCCTGGGCAATCTATCAAATTAATAATACAACAGCATTCTCTTGTTGGTTATTTATTCAATAAGATTATGATATGTAGCTAGATGCCAGTCTTAGAACCATAGAGATTGAATTCTAGTTTAAAAATATAATAGAGGTTGTTATTTAAAGTTTCTTTTATTTAGAAATATATTAAAATATTTTTTTAATTTATTTTTGATATCAACATATTAAATAATCTAAAAATATATAAAAATAAATAAATAAAAAGCAGATTCCACCGCAACACAAAAAAAATCAAAGCCGCAAAATGACTTGCTTCCCGCACTGCTTTCATTCCTGAGCAAGTGGAAAAGAGGCCTGATGATCACATAATTAGGATCAATATTCCTTCACATTTTCCTTTGTCTTGCTTTGGTTGTCACATACTCTACTGCCAACCAAGCACTAAAACCACATCTAGGAATATGTACGAGTGTCCGGCGACGAGTTTAAACTTTATACCGTTCAACCCTCCCTTTTCTACTCGTATTTTTCCCAAAGGCTTCTACATGAGAGCATTTTTATCTAAAATGAACAGTGTCTTCATCCCGATAATTAATACAAATCATCCTAAGGAGCAATTTGAACGCTAACAATGTTAGTCTGATCTGGGATTGTATAGAAACAAGTCATTATATTCACAATGATAACGACAGAACCATTGCGATAGCCCAGATTCCATTACAATTCTCCCACAAAAGACTTAATTGGTGCCTATTATCCCCACCATAACGATGTACTCCCTTTCCCCACTTTCAAACTACATCTCCATGGTTCAAAATTTTCCGTCCTGCAATCAATTAGCCATACTTGCTGATTCTTAAGGAAAAAGTTCTTGATGGTCGTTACAAACATCAATGACGAGAAAATCAACACCATAGCCATGTAAACTTATCGCTCCCACATGAAAAAACAACAAACAAACATCATCAATTCCTCGAGTTCAGATGACAAAACAGTCACACACATTCATTAACATAATGCTTTGACAGGTTGGAACAACTTCGTTTTTTTACACAAGTGACCAAGATAAATCAGCTCGATTCGGCAGGAGGCTTCTCTTTTGGATGTTTGGAGGCATAATGATCACCTAGTTGATTACTATTTGCCAGCTGAACCTGAAAGTCAAAAGGCAACTTGTGTTTAGTACAAACCAAATCTATAAACCAAAAACACAAAGATCAACAACAACTACCATAAAAGGATTAGCAAAAACCTTACAAATTGCTTGTAATAAAGAAATTTGTAAAGGATTGATGTGCAAAAGAATGTTCTCATGAATAACTGCTAATGGGGCAATTATACCGTCTCTCAAAACTGACCAAAACACAATCTCAAGTTGATCACTGAAAATGAACTCCTGAAACTCACATGCGAGATTAAACCTTGTCTAAATTTCTTATCATCTCCGTTGAAGATATGACCAATAACATGAACCTGCCATTACCTGTTGGCTGTTCTCCTTAAATTGCAGTTTGAGTAAAAGGCAAGTCTTCTTCCATAAAGGGCATCATGACCCCACCAACACATTTAATTGAATAAAAAGAGCGAGATTTCATATGTACCAAAATGAGATTTATGCAGGCATTTCTAGACAAGAACACACTTTGTGTGTGTTTTGTACTATGGTGCACGGTACTTTTCAAAAGCGTTTTTCACTTTAAAATACATCAAAATAATTTATTTTTTTCAAACTTGTTTTTTATTTTTGACATTAGCACATCAAAACCATCAAATAGCACTAAAAGAAAGCATCAATTTGATGATTTTTCCAGTGAAACACACTTTTGAAACGCACCCAAAAGCAGAAGCTAACGCACTCCTAAACACTCATTTCATAAATTATCAAGTCCATGTTAGGGATTGTGGTTCAGTTTTTCAATTTAAAATGCAGGCTCATAATCCCAAATGGGTCATTCTAAAAACCATGGTTCGGAATTTCAAGCCACTTAAAACCATTGCTTTCAAAACCCAATCCAAAACACTCCTTTAAATTCCTCAGATATCATAATTTTTAAAGCCTCAATCCTTGAATTGGTTGCATTCTAAACAAGAAATTAAATCCTTTAAAATATTTAACTATTGCTTATCTCAATTTCTTATTACAGTTTTATACTCTTGGAAGTGAATTTATGCTTTTTTCAAAGACAAGTTTTTAGGCAATTCTGTTTGCACATGGATTATTCAATTTTTGTTAAACATTACTATATGAGTTGCTTTATATTTGCGAATTATATTCAAAATATTAAAAAATATATATATAACATCCATAGCTTAAAATACTTAAAATTTAAAAAAAAAATCAAAGTCTTTTATTTCTAATAGCTAAAAATATTATGGAAATGATAGAAGCCCTTTTTCAAAATTATAGAGGGGCTGCTGAGCAATGTATTCTTCTTTTTATTGTTTATTGAATCGAATATAATAAGTGGAAGCCATAAAATTTAGTGAATAAAGAAAAAAAGGGTTTTCCTAGCATGGATTGAGAAAAAGAAGAAGATTCTATGATGTTTTGATGCACGCTTAAAATCATAGGTTCTACTACAAAAGTGTTCAGGAAAAAAAGCTTATGGTGTTATAAAAAAGGCATATTGAATGTGTTATATAGAAACATGAGATTGGATACTAAATTAGAAAAGGAATATAGGAAACATGGTATAATTAGAAAAACAGGAATAAAATTATATAGGAAACACAAATTAGAAAAAAGAAAAATAAATAGAAAACACATATTCAAAAAGTAATATAGAAATATATATGTATTAAATCAAATGTGTATAAAAGGCATTTAAATGATTTAAAGGCATTACAGACTTTCAAAAGTATTTTAAGGGTAACATAGATAATCAAAAGTTTTTATGCACCTTGTGCCTTTATATATAGTTATAGATACATGCAAAAATATGTAAAAGAAAAGCATTAGGAGATTATTGATCATTGAAATCTTAAGAAATTAGTGGAAATAAGTTGTTCAAAAAATTCTATTCTTTTTTCGGGTAAATCTCACTAAAACACAAGGTAGTTTCAACTAGTGAAGTGAGAGCAGTTTATTGCACCCAATTCACAAATGTTGGCCAATACAGCACTTGGAATAGGAACAAGGTATAAAGATGGCATTTGGATCTTAGCTCGTAAAGTGACTGTTTATAATGAAGTAATATGAAGAAAAAAAGTGACATAGGAGTTTACAAAAGGTTATGGTGATAGAGTAATGGCACTGTGTTTTTACTTTAAAAACTTGCGTTAATAGTTAAAAAGGATTACAGTCAGAGTAAAACCACAACGTTTTCAGTTTGGAATGGCAAACTTTGGTTTTGAAGGAAAGATAAACATACAAACCACGCCATATCCAGATTGAAAACATAAGAATCAAGTGGTAACTCTAAATAGACCACACTTTGATCCACAATTAAATTTTACAATGATGTATATAATTTGCTGCACTGTGGCACTACAAGCAAGCATCAATTTCAGAAAGAACCCACATCAGTTTTTATGCGAAATCAACATGTAAATCATCAAAGTCCATATGTAAGATAGTGCATCTCACAGTCCAAAGTGTGAATCATATTCAAAATCTTGTCTGGACAATCTGGTTTATTGGCTAACCAAAGACAAGCTTGTAAGAGGATTTTCAACTTACAGCTTCCAGAACAAGTAAAACCCTCGTGAATAAGCAATAACCTTACTGAAAAAGGTCGTCTTAAATAAGAACGCCGTCAGGCAGACCTCAAATTCTCAACTTCTAATTGAGAAACTAAATACAAAGAGAAATCAAAGCCGTACCAAGAAAAAAAATGTTACATGACCTAATGAAACAAAAACAACAGGAAATAACCTAATACAATCATATCTCTTCAAGTTCGTCTCTATACCCTCCAAGTGTTTTTTGGTAAACAACAACAACTTGGGAGCTCTCTATCCGATAATAGGTTTACAATATCACCAATCTCCTCCCCCTCCACTATATTAATACTCGATAAATATAATTTCAAACCCACACCATTTTATCCGAAAACGCACCATATTGAAAAGGACACTCACAGTCTTAAACGACAGAGAAAGAGGGGAAAAGGACCCAAAACTTATCAAGAATTAATTTCACGATTTATAATCATTTCAACAATTAAAAAAAAAAAAAGCAGATCAGATTGAAAAAATAAAAGTGTATGATGATACGAGAGAAAAGAAAAGGAGAGAGTAAAGCAGTGATAACCTTACAGATGGGGCAGGTAACCTTGAGAGCAACAGCTCGGGCTTCAAACTGAGATCCCTTAGATTTCTGATTCCTTTCTGCGTTTTTCCTCTGGGCTTCGATCTTCTGCTTTCCTCGAGTCATTTTCTCTCTTCGACACAGTCTATCCTTCTGATTTGAGACGATCTGTTATTAAGGAAAATAAAAAGAATGCTGTGTGGTGGGTCCTCTCGCTTTGTATATGTGACTGCCGGCGTGGGCGGCCATTGGTTTTTGCTGGCTTTTTGCCTAGCCATGCCATGCCATGTGTATATGGGCAGCATAGCTGTGCCTTTTTCTTCGTTTTGAAACATAACACTCGAAATATTTTTAAAATCTATTTTTTATTTAATTAAATAATTAAAAAAATATTTATAAAAAATTAAAAAAATTATATTTTATATTATAAATTATATTTTTAATTTATATAATTTTTATTTTATTTTAAAAATAATATTTTTTTCATTATCAACATAGTTTATTGAATAAAAAATAATAATCAAAATATTTTTTTCTTATTCATGTATTTTTTGTCTAGATCATAATAAACTATTTTTAAAATTATGATCTAGACAAAATAAAATAATTAAAATTATATTCATGTATTCTTAAAAAATAATAATTAAAATTTTATTATATATTTATATTCATGTATTCTTAAAAAATAATAATTAAAATTTTATTATGATCATAGAAATAAATCTTAACTAAAAAATAAAAAAAAAATTATGAATTGATGATTTGGATGCACCTAAAAAGTATAAATATAAAACAAATCATGTAAAAATTATAATAAAAAATATTTTATTCTTTTTCTATATTTAATATTAATGAGAATATTTTAAAAAAATATATACATTTCACATAATTATTTATAAAATAATTTTTAATATCATTATTGAAAGTTTTAACCTTAACATAATTGGATAATTTTTTAGATATATAACTTTTTTGGTGCAAAAAAATTATACAGGTGTTGCTCATATTTATTCTAGCAAAAACAAAAACATATAGGAGTTGACCGGATCAACTTAACAAGTTCAAAATAATTTAAATGACTAATAAAAATATAATTTAACTAAAAATATTTAAGAAAATATCTTTAAAAAATTAAAATTAAAATATATTAGATAATCCTAGGTCAACTTATAAAGTCCATATCTTTAGTTATGAGACCATAATTTTTTTTTGTTACAATTTGGGTTAAACATTCAATTAAATTAAATATGATAAAGTTGATTCAATCAGATCACAATACAAGCTACAGTAAAGACCCATATGAAGGTCATGAAGAGAAATTGAAGATTTATAAAAAAAACTCCTAATTAAATCATAATTGGCTAGCCAATCTGCCACTGAACACCCTTATTTGTAGATATGAATCACTTGAATATCATATTCTTTTGATAAGAAAACCATCACTTGCATGATTAGATTATAATTTTTTTCAATGATAATCTTATCTTTAGTGATTAAATCAATTGCTAATGATGAATTAGATTCTAAAATAATTTTACATAATACTTTGAACCAAGCTAATTGCAAGCCATTAGTAATTGCTCCTAATTCAGCATTTACTAATGTGTAAATCTTGATATTAATAGTGAAACTAACAATCTATCTACCCATATCATCCCTAATAAAACCATGATAACCTTATAAAAAATAAATTAAAATAAATTATAAATTTTAATTCTTAATCAACTCAATGTTGAACAATCAAATTAAAAAATATAAAAAAAAATCACTCAAGTTAACCTTAGTTAATTTGTCAAACTTATGATCGAGTTTATAAGAATAAGATAACCTCACAGAAATCAAATAAAAAATAAAAAATTGAATTATTAATTAATCAAATGTTGAATGATAAAATTAAAAAATGATATTAAAAAACTCAAGTTAAGATAAGTTATAAAACTAAGATAACCTCATAAAAACAAACTAAAAAAAACATAGACTAACTTACCAAACTCTAGACTTGGGACATGAGGTTAGTATAACTTTATATAAAAAAAATTAAGATACATTATTCAATATTATTCCTAATAAATCCAATTTTGAATGATAAGATTAAAAAAAAACATCAATTTAAAAAGGGACTAAAAAAATAACTTGAGTCAACTCAAATTAAATTACAAAACTCGTGACTTGAGTTATGAGATGAAATAACCTAGTAGAAAACAAATAAAAAAATTATAAAACATAATTTCAAGTTAATAAAAAGTTGAAGGATGAAATAAAAAAAATAGTCAATTAAAAAAAGAAAAAAACTCGAGTCAATCTTGTATAAAAGAAAATTGAAATAAATTATAAAACTTAATCTCCAGCAAACCAAATGTTGAAAGAAGAAATAAAAATTAGAAAAAATACATAGATTAATAAAAAAACAACAAAGAATTACCGGAATAAATAGTGTTTTGTAAGGTAGTGTATGGTAAAAGCATTACCCTTTAAGTGTTTTGTAAATTTTAATAAATTTATAAAGAGAATTTTATTCTTTTTTTTTAAAAAAAAAAGGAAGTTAAGAGACATTTAACAAAAAGTTCAATCGTGCCTAGGCCTTAAAGAATGGGCCTGTGCATATGGACTTAAAAATAAAGCCTATACATGTATTAACCTGGATTGTAAAACTCGCATGTTATTTTTTTTAATGGATCCTAATTTATCAATAAAACAAACGTGCATTATTTTCTAGTTCAAATTTCAATCCTCTCTAATGGCTAAAAACTTAGTTTCCAAGTTTCCAAGTTTTTAGATTTTAAAAGTCCAATTTTTAACTTGTTTTCACCAAAAACATCCCATAAGATTTTTTCTTCCTCTACCTTCTCTTGCTATTTGCTAAAAACTCAATGACTCAATTTTTAACCCCCAGGATATCCTATAATCACTCTCAAAACAAAAAATTCAATCGAATCAAATTAAATTAAATTTATGAGTCTTAATCTTTTTCTTCCAACATGCTGTAAGAGAAAAACCATATTTATTGAACTTTTATCTTTAATACAAACTCATTAAAATTCAGATTAACTTTTTTGTGATTGAAATGTAGTTAATAAAATGTGGTTAATCGAACCTTTTCTTTTGCTTTTTCTTTTTTTAGCTCATTTCGCTATTATCTCTCATCATTCAAGGACTAAAACATTAAAAAAGTTGAGGACTCAAGTATACAATGCTAAAACAACATGGATAAAATTTTAAAAATAACAAATTTAGGGATCAGACTAAAATTTTTACATCCTATGAACAATAATAATAAGAAAAAGGTTTATGTGTTTTTTTAATGTTAGCTTTGGTTCTTGTTATTTAATTTTTTAAAATAATCTAAGATTCAATTTTATAATATTGACCTTTAATTTAATATTTACATGTTTCACAACACCTAAAATATATCAAAGTAAAAAACTACAAACTTAAAATCATGCTAACATAGGAGGATGAAAATAAAAGACGTAGAATCCAACTATTGTTTACTATATAATTTTAAATTATTATTATGGCCTCATTTAGGATATGAGTCCTATATAATAATGTTAGAGTGACTAAAAGGGTTAATGGCATAATCAAAAACAAATGATATAACAAGATATGTTATAAGTCAAAACTTTTAAAGATTAAGAGAAGTATAACTAAAAGAAAATACTCAAAATATTTAATTTTTAATTTATTAAAGTCTCACTTATGAAAAGGTTATCACAACTCTTTTTATATAGAAAAAACACAAAATATTTTTTTATACTGAATGGAAAAATAAAATAGGAAAAGGTTTTCCCTTTAAATAGGAAAACTAAAAAAGCCTAAAAATACTGAATATATAAAAAACACTTTTAAATTGAATAAGAAGAACTAAAAAGCAAAACCTTATCAATAAAAAATCATCTTTTACTTTGAGCGCATCCTTTATAACTTTTAGCCATAATATTCATAGATTTTAGTTATTGAATATAATGTTTTTTAGGCAAAACCTTCGCGTTTGAAAACAATCCTACTTTACTATCAACATGTTTCCTCTACTTTGATATTAATTGACGTTGTAAAAAATAAAAGATAACAAAGTTTGTTATAAATAAGAACCTTTAATTGAAAATTGTCCTCCTTCACCACAAATATTTTCTCCTACTTTGATATCAATTTACATTGTCAAATAGAGGTGAATCGCAGATAATTTTTGAGGGAGTGTCAAAACTAATATAATAAGACATGTAATTTTTTTTTTAATATATCATACATGAGTTATAAACACAAAAAGACTGCCTAATTTAGTTTTGTGCCAAGAAAAACATAAAATGCTTCAAAATTTACTATAAATAAGATAAATAATATAAAAACTTACTACAAATATAGAACGATATTTGTATGAGTTAAGAGGCTAAGAGAATTACTAAATTAACTCAAAGTTATGAATTAATTTAATTTTCATAATGCATTTATCATTTTAACTTTATTAATCTTCATACCCATAAAAAATAAACACACAAAGTATATAAGAAATAATATCTAAAATTAAATATTATTTTTGTTAGCTAAATTTTTTGAAATAAAGTACAATAACAATAAAATATAAATATTTTTTTTAATTGTCTTTGTTATTCTCTCATTGAATAAAAATTATTGATTATCATATTTATTGAGTATCTTTTAGTAATCTTTTTTTTTTCTATATATACAATCAAATAATCTGCAAAAAAATCATCCTCCATTAAATTACTTGTTTTAACAATCTTTATTGCTGAAAAATCTCAATCATTGTGTTTGTTGAAATAGAAAAGGTCAAATTGAACCAAATTAATCTATCAATTAGTGGATAAATTATTGATTTTTCACTTTCTATCAATCTCTGGTGTAAATTAGAAATTGGTGATAAATTCTTTAACTCTAGATGATTCGTACTTTAAGGTCATAATGTTACAACTAAAATCTCTACTGATTTTTTTCTCGGTGAGAAAAATCTTAAGGATAGAACTTATCAACAAGACTGCATATATCTTCAACATTGAATAGTTTGAAGACATCCAAAGTTGCGCTTAACATAAAAAGCTCGTCTGTATGCTCGCTAAATCTATTATTTAACTCTTGTAGTTATTAATCAATAATAGCTATAAATATATTATCTCGATAGTAATTCTCAATTGTTACTGATTTTTTTTAATGATGAGATCATCCCATAATAAAAAAACAAGTATCCATATTATAAACTTCAATGTCTTAACGCTTACAAAATGATGTCATTTTTAAAAGAGTTTCGTGG